TATTTTTCTAATGAAACTGACAACCCAAGTAATGGAATACGCCCAGATGGTCAATTTATATGCGCAAGCATATCTTATCGATTTACAATAGAAATAGGAGCTCTTGAATCGAGTAAACCTGTGAATTCATCCCTCAATAAGAAACAAAACGATAGATCAAAGCTTATATTAGCAATGCTGATGTCTGGGGCTAATGTTCGTGACCAATTTGATCCAAGAAATATTAGCCAATCATCTTGATATTGAAGCCATTAATTAGAAAAGAATAATTTTATCAAAAATTTATTCATTTCAAATTATCTGAAATATTGGCACATATAACGATAATATAGACCAGGGTAAAATCGTCACCAAAAAAGTTTTCGAACATTACATGACTAATATATTAAGCACTAAAAATTTATGTAACAAACAAACATTCAGACTAACAAAATAATATTGATAAGCAATAAATTAGTCATTTGGGATCTTTGCACTATAAATGTAAATAAGAATTTCATATGTTCGTTTTTTTTGATATTCGCATTATAATCCATTTATACTCTTTTATGATCAAAACTAATCCTAAATTCTAATCTGACTATAAAAAAAAGCTAAAAAAAATGTATTTCTAAAAAACTTGAAAATTTCATATTAAAAGTATTTAAAATTTCTAGCTTCAGCGTGACAAAAATATTTTTAATTCATAATAATTACTTAAACTTTATTTTAATTGAATAAAACTCAATATCAAATATAAATAAAACAATATATATATGTTGTGCCTTAAATCAATTTTTAATTGAGGCATTTCAGGTATTGACTGTTTGGCCAGCATTAACGGATTAACATTAATTGGATTAAACTATAACTTAATTCTTATTCTAACTCTAACTCTAATTTGGATTAATTAACACTTAAGACACAACATATACAAATTTTTTAAAAAAATTTAACTTATTATTTAACAAAAAAAAGAATTTTAAAATGAAAAATAAAAACAAATTGTACTTATTACAAAATTTTTATAATTATTTTAATGTTTAAATTTATAGTTTTAATAATTAAGTAATTGATAATATTTTTTTTTTTTTTTGATATTAAGGTGACTTCTTTGATTTTTTGACTTTTATTAATCACTTATCAGTATTGTGGTTCAATGAACTACTACAGAAGAGTGTACAATTGGCTACATGTGTAACTTTTTTAATACCTATTTAAGAAGTCTGTCTGAAGGTTTTTTACCAATTGCTGTACCTAACACTCCTGCTTGGATGTTCTATTTTAAATCCTCTGAACCTGTAACCTGTGTTAACATCACTGGTTATCTTAGATGTTCAGATTATCATCTTCAACCTTAGGATTAATTTATCTTTGAGATAAACCTCTCAAAGCCTTCTGTATCCATTTTTACAGTTGACTTAGCTATCATTATAGTAGAACCAACACTTGCAGTCAGGACTAACCATTAAACCATTATGCCTTTGTAGAGTTCACTTAGACTCCAGCATTTACTTCACAGTATAATTTTGATACTTTAGTATACTCCTGCTTTTTCTTCTGCCCTTTTACCAAACTCCCAATCCAGATAGCCCATATAGGACTACGATCAGTCTATTGGTATATCAGGTTAGTCTGATATCCTTTTCTTTCAGTTCATTTTAATGGCCTAGTTAGTGATATCTCTAAGACTCCCAATTCAAAAATTCTTGTTTGTTTAACTACTAGAACCAGATACTAGATCTTGGTATTTGTTTTGCCAAGCTAGCCTTTAGAGTAGGGCTGTCGAAGATCCAGTTATCTTTCTACTCGGATCTTCTCAAATGGACTTCTTGTTACCCAATTTCAATGGATTTATATGACCACAAGGACTTATCTAATGTTTGCACTATCCGATATGTCAGTTTGCATTCTTCTATATAACTCCAACATTGCACAAATGCTCCATGACCTGTCAGTCATGCTGATTCAATCATCATTACAGATATATATGTAATTATTAAAATGCTAAATGTAACTAGTTTATATTATTACAGATATATATGTAATTATTAAAACACTAAATGTAACTAGTTTATTGAAAAAAACTAAAAATATAAATTTTTTTTAAAAATAAATAAAATAAGTTCTAAGTTATGTTGAAAAGATTTTAAAATGTAATATATAAGAGTAGAGTTAGTAACAGGTGTTTAAAACTTTATATACAAGGATTACTATGACTCTAATGAGTCTTATCATAACAAGTACTAGCATGATAAATATAAGTTCTTAAATATTTTATTAGTTTATATAATGTAAAAGGCATGTTAGACATTTAAAAAAAATATATGTAAATATCTTTTTTCTTTATTCTTTTGTGAAAATGAAGAATTAAGTTTATATAATGTAGTTTGATTAGTTAATTGACCAATCACAACCTATATTATTTGATGTATGTTTGATATTATATGATTATTGAATAAAAAATTTTGATTGGTTAACTATATTAAAAAAAAAAATCTTCAAACCCCACTTCACTGACTTGGCCAGAATATGAAAACCAATTATATAAATTTGTGTGACCTAACTTTAAACTATTAAGTAAAATTTTTCAACACATAATTTTGGATATATATAACCTTATAATCTTAACTCTAACACAAATTCGAACCCTAACCCTAACTTCCAAAAGTTTATTTTATTTAGGCCACACCAATTTGATTATCTGTTTAGCATAACCCCCCCCCCCTAGATTTTGGAATTTTATATGAGTCAAAACACATAATATTAGCCAATCAAATTGCTGCATTAGTAATTATGTGTATTCAATATTTTTTACATTATTTCTAGCCAATAAAATTACAGTTTTTTTTTTTTTGTGTGGTTTTTTTTACAATGCCCCACTCCCCTCCTATGGGCTATCCTATGTTATGTTAAACAGAAAATCAAATTGGTGTGGCCTTATCAATTTTATAATACGGATAATGTCACCTAGAATGAAAATTAATTGTATTCAATAAATTTATATTTTTCTACATCTTCCAATTTTAGTATCATTTCAACAATAGATATTCTATATAAATTTAAATTATTTTTTATAAAACTAAAGATAGTTATATTTCTAATTTATTCAAATTTTATATATAGTAAAAAAAAATATTATAGTTATAAAAACTAAAAGGCAATTTCTAATTGTACTTGGATGTATGTACATGGGAAATAGAGAAACCACCAGTATCTCAAAATTTTGATTATAAAATCATCTGTTGGCTTCTAACAAAAGAAATTCCTTGTGAAATTTTGGTATTAAAATACTTTATCAAATCCAAAACCAGCCTTTACCTTAACCATAAGCAAGTGTTCAATGTTTCGTTTGAAAAACAGTCTTAATTAGCATGCTACACGAATTTGCAAACTACAGTTAATACCCGTGTAGATACATGTAGTGTACGAATAGTTTTTCCCTAATAAAATGTCAATTTTATTAAACGGCTTACTCTTCTAAAAAATTTTCAATACTTCTCAAATAGTTATAAGTTTATGATTCAAAATTTATTTTGGGATATGAAAACTTTTATATTTTTTGATTTAATAAATTTGACCATTTTGAGTTTAGAAGTTCCGATTCCCAAACGCAAATTACGTAATAATGTCATCATTCAAAGGTCGTAACTCTATCCATTACCGTTACTTGAACCAGAGCCAGATGCCTCATCGTTTGAATTCTTTGTCATCTTAGTTTTCTCGTCCAATTCAACTTTTTGCCACCCTTATAATTTTTTTAAAAAAAATTTTTTTTGTTAATAATAGGTAAAACTTTTTTTCAAATATTATGTTTAAAAAAACTTACATTCTAATTTTTCTGGGGGCCTAGTCCTAGAAAGTTCTTGAGCCCGTCTTCTAGCGTTAATATCCTTTTTGGCGTAATAAAACGCACCCCCGCCAGCTTAATATAAATCAAATTTTTATGTTAAATAAATTATTTGAATTAAAGTTATAGCACATGTTGTAACTTACCAGCGATTAATACGACCCTTTATTTAAATAGAAAATTAATAATTGCAAATAAAATAAATCATTCGGAACTATATACTAACATACCATCCAAGAAGAACAGATCCTGGTGTATTCATTTTTTTTTTTCCTTTATAAATTCTAGAAATAACATAAATATATTCATTTGGTCTCATGATCAGAGCATGTTTTTACCAGTTTATGTTCAGACGGAAATATTTTACCTGAATTATTCTAAAATAAGATGAACGAAATAAATGCGTAATATTTAATTTTTATGGTTTCGAATTTATCATTTAGAAATTTTGCAACATTACCGGGAAATCTACCATTTTTGTAGTTAGATCACTTTTCATACAAAAAATCTACCTATGGTAATGTAAGGCTATCGGATATGGTAAAGTGTATGTGTGTAAAAGTTATAAAATATCAAATGCAGGGACGCCAAATTCACTAAATATAAATGCCGGACAATAATTTATTCAAGCCATAACTACGGTACTTAGTGTTTCGAATACTATCAAAGCCCTATCGCGCTTTACTAACAGAACACTATCGCTATGATACATACCTTATTGGTATTTACGCATTAATTGCTAAATTCGATCACATTTGTAACTTCAGTTATTCGGCACTATTGAACCTTCAACATAATGAGCCGGAAAATTAAATTCTTTTCTAATCATAACATCAATATATATTTGCGTTTCATTTTTTACCATACAAAAATTATTATAATGCGTATGTTTGAAAAATCACGGTAAAAATATTACACATATACGTAATAAATAAATATTTATGCATGCTTTATTCCGGAATATACGAGTATATATCGTTTTATACAGTAATAAGATTGCCATATGCTTTGCTAAAATTAATAAATACACTTAGCAATTACGGTATACAAATTATGTGTAATGTTTATAACAAATCATTAATATTAGCTATCGTAGCTATCGTAACATTAAATCGAATCCGATCCAATATAAACCCTAGTACATGATAATATGAACTTGCTCTCTTTTCTTCTCTATGCACTATCTCTTAAACGGTGTGATTCTAAGTGAAAATTCTATTTCGTGAGTAAACTTTCCTTACCAACTTGAAAGCTGACTCTTGCTGCCATAAGATTTTCTACCCATTTCGAATCATCGTATCCTGTTAACATTCGGTCATCTGCTGCATCATAATCAATTCCTTCATCATTCATTATAAGCCTGATAATAACTTCTGGAAGTAAAACGTCACCTATGAACCGAAGTCTTAAGTCTTTTGAATAGTTGTAAAAAATGGAATTCTCTGGTATTTTTTTTGATGGTGTTGGCAATCCGTTTAAGTTATCTTCGAATCCTTTATCAACCCTCTTTCTCTTTTTCGGTGAAACTATCTTTTCTTGTCGATCAATAGATTCAGCGACCTCAGGTATAAACATGCTTCTCAAAACTTTAGCAATCATGCCAAATTCGCTTAAACTAAAAGGTCCTGGTGATACTTTTTTTGCAAGTTGATTTCGTTTTTTACCTCCTTCAATAAAATCCCGGTATCTCCATGCGGATTCTTCGTTACCTGTCAAAACTCGATAAAGTATATCTTCAAGGTTATGGACTTGATCAGTAAGTTCTTGATCATAGTAACTTGGGTCCTCTTTTTCCAACTCGATATCTCCCAACTTTTAGATATGAAAATGGTAAATTTAAAATTGTCAATTCAAACACCTTAAATGACAAATAAAACCCGTTTATTCTATTTAATTCAATTACTTGACACGTTTGAAATTCATCTTCATATCTCGTAAAGAACTTCTTTCGAGTAACTGTTGTCGTCGTCCCATCACAAAATTTTATTTTATATTTGTCTGGCTATAAAATTAAAAAATAAATTATTATTATTAAATTACACTTTTCATATGATAATAAAAATATCATCAAATAGACTAATTACTTCGGTATAACTTGTAATTTTTGCTGGATAATATTTTTTTAGTGCACATGCGAGCACTGGTTCACCAGGGATCATAAGGCTAATATGATATCCGTAATCGTGATTTTGACTTGAATATTTTAGCGAACATCTTATTACAAAGAATTTATTAAAGTTCGAACCTCTCATCTTCTTGGAAATTTGTATCAGTATTGCCTGGGTTCCGAATTGTGGATCTAAAAGTCAATATGATCAGGTTCTGGTCCAGCATAATTTAAAATTTCTGATTTTACTCACTGTTTATTTGATGATGTCTTATGAGTAATGTGACAATTTGCAGAAGCAAAACTTTTCCTTCTTCCTTTTGCAGGTCCTGTGAAAACACCACCAAATTTATAAAAGGTTCGTTTTTATACAAACATATTGAACTATTATCGATTGACTACGTATTATTGCATACTTTTCTGAGTAGTAACCTTTTTCCGTTTCGGTGAACCAACAGAATCAACAACTTTATGAAAAGCCCAATCTTCACTGGGTAAGCCATCATTTTCTTCAGCTTCCTTTTCCTCAGCTTCTGAGATCGCGTTCTTAAATATTTCTTTCATATTTGAGTTTTTTCCGTTCTCCAGAAACTCGGAGGATTTGTCACAGCGAAACGGAAGAATATCTGACATATTGTCAAGTTCCTTTGTTCTGTAAAATTAAAATAGAACACTAAAATTGTTTATATGTACATAGGTTGACCTGAGTAAACAGTCTGCATTTTATCTTACTTCGTCGAGATATCTCCAAAAAGCTCGACACGTAAAGGAGTCTCGGCTCCATTTTGACTTATTATCTTTTAAAAATATATTAATATGATTTTGAATTCGTGAACGATATTATACAAGACGAGTTAATTTTGATATACCTTAGCAGGCCACCAACCAAATGTTTCCGTGCTAACCCAGACAACGTCTGTAGGTAACATGTTCAAATGTATCGGTATAGATTCTAACGGGACGTTATAATGATAATTTTAAGGATCTGCGCATTTTATATAGTGAATACCAAATGGAGGGGAATGTTAAAGCCAGGTACCAGTTAGGGTTACTTTTTTGATGCAGTTATGGTTATCAGGTCATATAGATATCAAGAATACAATTTACGCAGTATGTAGATCATTATATAAATATACCAGACCCCAAATGAGTGTCTCATATTACATAATTACTTATAACAAACTTTTTTATTGAAGATATAACTACGTATTGAAAATTTGACAAAATGGGGCCCTTTCAATACGAGTCATCCCAAATGGTCATTTGACCAAACCATTACGTCAAAATTAATTTATTTTACTATCGCATGATTAAGATGATCTTTTAATTGGTCAAAATTAGAATTAAATTCCGATTGGTTCACTTTTTTTTTATATGCTTAAAAGTTTTTTTTAATATGTATTTATTTTGAAAAATTATAAATGGCGACCCTATATGGAGTGTCTCGTATGAAAAGGGACCATTTTTACATTTTTCGAAAAATAAGTTTTTATTAGATTCGTATAAATTTTGACATGATTGACATTTTTCAATTATAAATAAAAGTCGATTTACATAATAAAAAATCAAGATAATATAAAAAAATATTTCGCGAATCTTCCAAAGGCCAACATATTACGAGATTTCCCGATAGTCTCCTGTTACCTTTAACCAATCAAAATCGTGAAATTAAATTAATCCGGATCAGTCCGAAAATCAAAACAAATAATTTTCAATCTGCAAGTTGTAACACATATGAGTGCCGCCAAGGGAAAACCTGAATCCGGGAAATTATAATTTATTATACCGGGAACTTAGCCCCGGATAAATGACTTGCAATACGTAATTAAGCACGTGTACAACTAATTTCTAAATGTTTCGATCACAATCTATTTAATTATTAATTAATATTAATATGTATATTTTTATTGTTAAAATTATTTAACTCATTTATTCTTTTAATTTTTATTTTGCGCCTTTTTTGTATTGGCCTCTTTTTGTTTTTTAGCTCTATTTATTACATCATCTGGAGGTTTTGGACAGAGTATGTTTTGAAATTCAGCTGGACAGTATTTATGAATTTTGTTCCAAAGTTCGAATTGTTTTTATTCTAGAAGACCTTTTGCTAGAATTTTCTAAGAACACAAGTTTACTAAATCAGCATCTTGTTTTAATAGTTGGAATTCATCTCAAGAATTGAATACTCTTATTTTAGCTTTCATTAGGTTAGATTTTTCAGAACTAAACTGAAAGAGATAATACTTTTGAATAGTAGGAAGTTTTCGATATAATTTACCAAGAACTGAAGTCCAATCACAAAAGAGTTCTGTTTGCTTATCCAGATTTACAGCAATGTTATTGTCTGCACTTTTGTTTATTATTTCAGTTAAATAATTAATACATTAAATTTCTGACTTCACATACTCTATCTTTCTTTAACCAAATCCACAATCAACTGAATTTCTTATATATTTTTTAATTTGAAACTGATATTCGATTTCTTGAAATATTTTTGTATCATAGGTTCAATGAAGATACTAAAGAATACATGAGTTTTTATTTTGGTCTCTACAATTGTCTGTCTATAATCTAATTTTTTTTGTTTTAACTAGTGTAGAAACAAGAAATTGATACAATATTGAAGCAATTTCGTTTGATCTTTTTAAAGCTTTGTCTTCAGAATAAATTGCATGTCAATGTCTATTAATGTCTTCATTAACTAAGCCAAACTAATGCATTTTTAGTAATGATTGATAATACAATGATTCTGGTTATTAAGATTTATATAACAATTCTATATTTTAAACAAAATCAAATAAAAAAACACATAATGAAAAATGATTACAGTTTTTTGCTTCTTGCATATCGTCTTCATAGAGCTTTCTCATTTCTTGATAATCCGAGATATAAGTTATTAACTGCTTATTAAGATTTTCATCTGTCTTATTATTGTCACTTTCTCTCAATATATATTTGTATAAAATACATTCATCATATATATCTTTGGATGATTTTCTAATTATTATTTTGCTAAGTTCATTATTGTTCTTTTATAGTTTTTGAAACATCTAATGACTGCTAATATGGTTTTCTGGATTCATTGAATTATAAGCAACAAGAAGACAATCATATAAATAGTAAGATAGTAAAAGAATTATATCAACTTTTTTATAATTTATTGTTATTTGTCCATCTACCTTTTTATATGTATATTTTTGAATAGCCTGTTATTTATTATGTTGTTCATCAAGCGACTTAATAAAAAGCTTGACTTTATTAATTGTTTCAACAGGTAAGATATTCTTAGAATGATGACCAATATTACTATGAGGTTTAGGCAACATCAATTGATATTCGCAAATCCAATTACAGAGATGAGTAACTACATCTCTGTCATATAACCAAAATACTTAAAAGAAATTATAACAAACTTTACTAATATGAGATAATTGATATATTATGCTAGAAATTTTTTTGTCTTTTTGATATAAACCAGGATTTGCAAAAACAATAAGTATTATTATTAAATAACGATGTTTTTTTTTATTCATACAAAGACTTTCTAATGTCAGTTTATTTAATATTTCTAATAGAATCTTATTATTACATTTTTCTTTATATGAACAACATTGCTGAAGCTTTTTAATTAAATTATTCAAAGTTGTAGCAATGGTCTCGTTAGAATTTTTGCTTGTAGTCTTTTTATCACTTGAGTCATCAAATTCTTTATTACTCAGGTTATCAAATTCTTCATTATTCAGATTATCAAATTCTTTATCAGAATATACGTCCTTATCTGTTTCATCGATCTCTAATTCAAAAGAACAAATAGAATCTTGAATATCAAAAAATTGTTCAAAATTTTCAGGAAATTTCATTTTGAGTTGGTATTACAATCAAGTTTGAAGAAAATTTTTTTGAATTTAGGTTTGTTTAATTGAACTATCAATACTAAACTAATACTAGTATTTTGAAAATTCAGTATTAGCTAATATTAATAACTTCTGAAACTGAATCAATATTATTGTTATTAGCTAATTTTGACAGATTATTAAAACGAATTAATGCTTATTAATGTCTGTTAACATTGATAATTTATTGAACTAAATCAATATTTATTTATGCAAGCAATATAATAATGACAAAGGATAATTGAAATAAGGAGTATAATTTTTTTTTTAAAAAAAATCACATTAAATTGAATTTTTGATTATAAGACTGAATTAATTTCTAGTTAATGTATATTTTTTTGATTTTTTTAATTATAGGTAATAAATATTATCATTACGAATTTGTAAAAAAAATTTTTTGTTGTACAAATTTTTTGAACAAAACACGGTTTTATTAAATTAGTTGTATGATAATAAAATACATAATTTTCTCTTTTTGTCACTCAAAATTTTGAAATTTAAAAATAAACGCGAATTCTATAGTTTTAAGTATTTGTATAATAATATAAAGACAATTACTATTTTTACACGAAGTGTATGTACTCTGGTGATATCAAACCAGTCAATATCTCAAAATTCCGATTGTGAACCATCTTTTTGCTTCTAACAAAAAAAATTTCTTGCGAAATTTTGGTATAACTATACTTCACCACAATCCTAGCCTACCCTTACCTTAACCATAGCAATGGTTTAATTTTTGTTCGTAAAAATTGGGTTGATTGGTATTTTACATGAATTTAAAATTACAGAATTAATGTTAATAAAATTAATACCCGTGTACCTTACACTCTGTGTATAATTATAAATTTTCTAATAAAAAATATCAATATAACGACTAATTGTATAATCAATGTGTAATCATTACACATGATATCGAAACGTCTAGAAGACTATTATTCCCGATGATTTTTCAGGGGCTAAGTTCCCGGTATAATAAATTATAATTTCCGGATTCAGGTTTTCCCTTGGCGGCACTCATATGAAGTTAAATAATAAACTTCAAGTACGCATAATTAGCTTTAATATAATTGTAACACAAATTAAAAAAAAAAATATATAGATGCGATTATCTCGAATTTAAGTTTATAGAACATGCCAACCACTTCATATTCAAATCTTCCAACGGAAGTTGGCAGTCCCATCCCAACCAATACACCACACGCTATCTCCGTAGCGCTTCCAACTTGGCAAGATAATGTAGACTATGAAGAAGGCCGTGAGAGGGTTGTAAATCGAATGTTAACGGGGTATCCAAGGTTTTTTATTAATAAACAAATCGAAAAGGTATACCATATAAATGGTATTACAGTCAACTCTTTATAATGAACTAGCAGCTCTTTATATTTAAAAGTTCCTTATAGAATAATTTACTATGTTTCTATATCGAACTCTATAATAATTATTTTTTAAAGTCCGTGTTCGTTATATATTCAGAGTCGACTGTATACGTCAAATTATATACTTGTAACCTGAATTGACTAAATTGATTAAATTTGGTTGACTTTTAGTTAATGTCAATATGTGAAGAAAAATTTGCAAAACCATCCGAATCGAGTTTATTATTTCCTAGTCGCAAAGTTACGGAACGTTGCCGAGCTTACTTGCGCCGATACTATGAGTCTAATAATCCTAATTGTTTTCGTTTAGCCGAAATCATTGTAACACCGGATCAAAGCAAATCATTGACTCAAGTCAATATCACATTGCATATAATTTTTTTTCCAAAAGAAGCATTCTCTGTGGCAAAGTCCTTTTGGCAACATACAGGAGATGGTATTAGTTCTCGCTTAGCCGAATATGTACTTAATATACTGCAAACAAAGTCCAATGAACAATATACCAAAAACCTTTATAAAGTTTCTACGAAAAGAGCATCATTTTGTAAACGATATTCCAGTATACAAGCATCAAGCAGCAGAAATTTGGATTGTGAACCCAAGGGAACTTTGTTCACAGATATTACGTCGATCAACGATTCTACTTTTGTTGAGCAGAACTTTTATGTTGAAGAACGTTATGGTCGTAATTTACCTATATCATTTGCTGAAAAGGCAAAGCTTGAACTTAAGCGAAGAATTGTTAGTAGCCTAAAAATTGACGAGGAATCATCTATTCCAACAGAACGAATAGTAAAAGATGTAACGGAAAAAGAAGTTTTTCTTTTTCCGAGTGGGATGAGTTCTATCTTTCATGCTCACCGATTTTTATTAACAGCATTTCCTCCGAGAAAAAGTATTTGCTTTGGGTATGTATTAATAACATTTTAGTTTAAAAAATAAGGATGTTATTTGATTTGGTCTTAGACTAATGGACAATTAGTCTTAAGACTAGCCTGGAACTGAAAAAAAAAGACCAATCCGTTAACATTCCTACATATTAAAAAAGTTTATTTACTACAATATTAAAATAAAATAAAATTTATAGTTTTACATATGTTGATACTTTAAAAATCTTGCAAAAGTTTGGACCTGGATGCTATTTTTACGGCAATGGATCATCATCAGATATAGATGAGATAGAAAGTCTTCTCGAATCTGGAGAAAAGATTTTAGCACTATTTTGTGAATTTCCAAGTAATCCATTATGTAAATCTCCAGATTTAAAACGTCTTAGAACTCTTGCGGACAAGTATGATTTTCCAATTGTGATAGATGAAACAATTGGGAATTTTGTCAATGTTAAGGTTTTTGAATGGACAGATATTATGGTGTCAAGCTTAACCAAGATTTTTAGTGGAGATAGTAATGTCATGGGAGGGGGGTAATTATAATATTGATTTTGATTATTTTAATTTTAATTAATTAAATAATTTAATTTAATGATTTTAAAATTAAAAAAAGGTTGATTTTGAATCCTCAAGGACGCTATTATGAAGTGCTGAAAAAAGTCATAAATAGTGAATATGAAGACCTTTTATGGGGAGAAGATGCAATTTTTCTTGAACGTAATTCAAGAACTTTCAGAGAACGTATTATGAAAATCAACGAAAGTGCAGAGGCAATATGTGAATTACTTAGAAATAGTCCTAAAGGTTAGTGTGCATTAACCCTTATTGTTTTAAATACCATGATTATCAAATTAAAACCTATAATTATTCTTTTATGAATAATAGTCAAAAAACTTTACTATCCAAAATATATTACGCCTAACATCTATCTTCAATATATGATAGTTAAAGGTGGATTTGGTGGATTATTTTCAATTATTTTCCATTCAGATCTTGCATCTCAACAATTTTTTGATTCTCTCGTAATTGCGAAAGGGCCATCTCTTGGTACTAATTTTACTCTTGCATGCCCTTATACAATTCTAGCACATTATCACGAATTAGATTGGGCATCAAGTTACGGAGTTGAACCAGGTCTTATTCGAGTAAGCGTAGGCTTGGAGGATAAGATTGATTTGTTGGAAAGGTTTCAACAAAGTTTAGATGCTATTACTGAATGAATTTTTTTTAAATGTTTCAGTATAGACTATCAATCATTATTTCATATTTGGTTTTATAATTTTGTAAACATGAAACTTGGAAAATTTATCTAGATAAGAGTTACAGGTATTTTTATAGTGAAACATAAGAGGAAAATTTGAAAATCAAAATATGAAACATTAAAAAAATAGACTTGTTTGCATAATTATCAATGTATAATGAAGATTGGTAACGTGATTTAGGGAGTCAGTGAGACATATCATGTTAAACACTAATTAAAACACTGTTTGTTTGATAAAGAAAAGGAATTTTTTTTGTTATTAAGCAAATTTTTGTGTAAGAGAAGTTTTGGAAACGAACGATTATGTTACGTTACATCGAGTCGTGATTTGTTATTGAAGAATTTCACGTGATCGAAAAACATTATTTAGTATTTTGTTTACGTTGGTCAAATTTGTGTTGTCCGGCCCAAATTATACACTTAATTTTGCCCGAAGTGGTGTTGTTACACCGCAAAACTATCGATTTACATATAATCAACATAAATCCTCGGTTCTGAAAGAAAAAAAGTTCGCTATATAGAATTCTTAAAATTGAGTTCGTTACATCCAGATTACTATTTGACTTTAGTCATCACCTATTTTAAATCGGGGAAAAATTTTTTTTATAATATGCAAAGGTTACTATATACCATATAGATACTATATAATATTACTAGGTACTAATCATATGCCTAGCTAGTCATTTCGAGAGTCATTTGCCAACGTTACGTCATAAAGAAATCAAACTAGCATATTGGCATATCCATATATCCGTGCCTGTGAGCAAATTAATAGATCATTCAGTGTCCGGACGGTTAGCTAAAGAATTACTAGTCGAATAAATAATCATTTTTTAACTGTATATTCATAAAGACCAGTCTAGAATTTTGGTAATATATATATTTAATAATCAAACATGTAGAATAAATGAAACTTTAGATAAAACACTTATAACTACAACAAAATATGAATAATAATAACTGAAACAGATCAGATAATCATCACAATTTAGTCATCTATTTCGAGTAATGAATTAAGCAGCAGCAGTCGTTTTCGCCCCTTGAGATTTGGCTTTCGGTTTCTTTGTAGTTTCTGTGGTGCTTGACTTGACTTTTTCACCTTTCTTCTTAGGAAGAAGTTCAGAATGAATGTTTGGAAGTACACCACCCTCGGAAATATGGACGTTTCTCAACAAGATGTTCAATTCTTCGTCATTTCGTATAGCCAATTGCAAGTGTCTTGGAATAATTCTTTGTTTCTTGTTATCACGTGCAGCGTTACCAGCAAGTTCGAGGACCTCGGCCGTCAAATATTCAATAACGGCAGCCAAATAGACCGGCGCACCTGCACCTACACGATCGGCGTAACGTCCTTTCTTAAGAAGTCGACCCATACGACCAACCGGAAATGTAAGTCCAGCTTTGAAACTTTTGGAGGTCTTTGAAGAGCTCTTCGCACCAACTTTAGTAGTAACGCGTTTAACTTTAGTCTTACCACCAGTGTCTTCCGAACCAACTTTAGACGGTGTTGTTTCGGAGGTTCGCACACGGGATTTCCCAGCTGTGTCAACTTTATCTGTGCTAGACATGATAACGAGGAAGTGTTTTTAAAAAATATATGAATTTAAATGATGTAAATATCAAAAATTAAAAAATGGGGAATAAAAATGTATTTATTGTTTATTCTAAATCTGCTACTTTTTATATTTGTTTTGATTGTTATTCTGATATCTGATTTACTGTAAATAATAGTCACGCATTGTTTATTGACGCGTATCCTGTATTGCCTTAATATGGTAATGCGGGTCATAATAATAATAATAATAAAGTTTAACGAATCGCTGTAAAGTATATCGATATATTTACTATATATTAACTCTTTATTTATCTTTATTTATCTCTTTATAATTAAAGCACCTCATAGAAATTTTTCGAAATAAAGAAATCTCTCGATAAAATTTATTTGCTTATCGTCAAATATAAGTTAAAAATTTTTTTATTGAAAAAAATAATTATTATACATCGCGATATGTCATTTCAATCAATTCAATCATTTCGAGTTATAACGCATCCACCTGATCAACCAATCAGATCGCATGATCAAGTGTAACGCGGATACAGTTATACAGCTGGACAAATCCGGGGATTTGCAAGTGATACAAGCCCAAAAAAGGAAATGATTGTTATTTCGCTAAAAGTACCCAGCGTTAGGGCTAGGTTAAAGGATATAGGATAACTTTCTTATGATTGGTCGATCACATGAAATTGAATAACACGTTATGATTGGCCATCGGCGTAACATGTGACAATCAACCAAACTACATTATCTTCGTAAATTTAATTCTTTATCGTTATCGTTTCTTACTTTTATATATATACATTTTAAATATCTATCATGCTTTTTAAAAATCTATAGTTTATTATATGCACTTTTTGAACCTGTGCAGATAGAATAACTTTCTTGTACATAAAATTAAATAACATTACAATTGTTCTTTTTTTTTTTAATTAATTATTAAATTTTTATTTAAAAAAAATAATTTTATTAAAATTTTTAAATAAAAAATTATTATTGTAATTTTTTGAAGTTTTGCAACAAACTATTAAGTACTGTATTTTTATTACTACTAATAATAATAATGTTATCATCATCATTATTTGCTTTATTTATAAATTTTTTGTTATATTTTCTTGTATCTTTTTTTTTTAAATATTAAAGTAAGTACTTGCAACCTAGGATTTTATTGATAGTACATTCAGCTAATGGTTGCATTACAATCACAGAAGGCAATCATGAAAAAAGTGTACAACTAGTCACTCATACAACTTTAGTCATTGTCTAATTTAAGTAGTCCACCCAAAGGTTCTACACTAGCTGTTATACCTGAAACCCACTTGTAGGTTCCCTATTTAACCACTCTGTTTCCATATCCACCTACCTACTTACACCTACCAAGATGCCCTGGTTGATACCGGTTCAAATATACCATAGTCACTAAGTTTTTAAAGCAGTTCACTCATATGGGGAACCTTTGACCTTGTACTAAACTTTTTAGAATCTTCTGTATTCCATTCTTACAGCTGACCTGGTATCGCTATGTCTGAGACCAACACTGGCGGTCAGGGCATACTATTAAACCATTATGCCCTTGTAAAGTTCATCCCAATTT